AGCCACCAGGTCCGGGACGCGAACCGCGGTCGACTACATGGGAGTCCAGCGACATAGCTATTATGCTAACTGCTGGTCCCAGTCAGGGTGGTTCTGATGATCAGTGTCTGTGCGGGGGAGTACTGCTTTGTCAATTTCCCTTTTCTTTGGTGCTTGTCACCCCCTGGACTAGGACCTTGACATCTGTCCCTCACGGTGTCCCCAGCATACAGCAGGGCTGGCCCAGGGACAGCGTCCCACTGAAATGTGTAACTGGACTGCAGCCCGTTCCCTTGGGAGGGTGCAGGTTCAAGCAGGCCCCTGCAGCCTTCCCTTGGATCCCTCCCAACCCTCCACCCACACTGCCATCCGCCTCTGGAGGCAACCACGCCCACTTGCCAGCTCCTCTACGCCCTTGTCTGCTCTTCTCTCCAGGCAATGGCTGGTTTCCATTGTTCTTCCTGGAGAGGACAGAATGTCTTCAAGGCCGCACTGAACGCCAAGGGCTCTCTCTCCAGGCTTATGAGGAAGGTGCCTATGACATTCCCCATTTCCTTCTGTGAACTTTTGAGGCTTTTCAAATGAAAAGCAGTTATGCAAAGGATCTGGGTGGAGTATAAAGGAAATGGAAGTAGCTTTGGAAGATAAGAAAAATGCTCAAAAAAAGAAAAAAGAAAAATGCTCAGTCTCCTTGAAATAAAATAAGTGCAAAAATAACTACTCCTAGAATCCATTTTCCCACCCATCTGATTGGCAGGGATCAAAGCCGGCTAACAGTCTGTGCTGGGGAAGGTGTGAGGAAACAGCTGGCTTATGCCTGGCTGGAGGGGGACACTGGTATTGTTCTTCTGGAGGACAATGTGGCAAAGAAAGTGTCAAATGCAAATCACCTGTGACCCAGGAATTGCACTTCTTAGAACCGATCCATCAGATATGCTCAGGAGGGAAGGAGATGACGTGAAGCCTTACCTACTGCAGCATCGCATTGCTCATGACGGCAGAACGCTGGAGACAAACTACACAGGTGTCAGTAGGAGACAGGCTGAGTGTGCCATGGCAGCCCACAGAGTGGAGTACTACGCAGCTCCCAAAAGACAAATAAGCCAGTGGGGTGGCTCCTGCATAGCAACACAGTCCAGAATACCTTCTTGCATATAAAAGCATGTGAGAGAACTAGAACGCAGACTCAGACACTAGCCTGCTGCTGTCTTGAGTATGAAAGGGAAATCAACACACAGCTGTGTAATTGCTTCTAAGTCTGTAAGTCTCTGGAAAGATCCTAAGAAACTGGTAACATTGATTGCCTTGGGGGAGGGCTATTAGGGAACGTGGGCTGCCGGGGGAGGGGGGGGGAAGGCTTTTTGTTTTACCCTTTTATGTAAATGAACTATTTGAATGAGATAATGTATTATTCATCCCAAACAAATGAAGCTTTTTTTTTTTTTTTTGCTAGAGAGTGTGCGCTTGCCAGAGAGAGAGCAAGAGAAAACACCCACAATGGAGCATGATCACATCAAAATCCTTTTTCCTTCATTTTTTCACCTCATCAGGATTTAGGGCATGCATACATGCGCACCCAGTGTGTTTTTCAAGCTGCTAAGCTGCTAGGGCTGGGATGGGATCAGGCACCCTTAACCACTGAGCTACTAGGTGGGCCCTATCTTAGAATTTCTCTTCTTCTTCTTCTTTTATTTTTTATTTAAAGAATTATATCATTTAACTTTATTTATTTATTTAATTTGACCAGAGAGGGACAGAGCAAGAGAGAGAGAGAAAGTGAGAAAGCGAGCTGCCAGGTCCAGGACTCAAACCGTGGTTGGATATGTGGGAGTCCAGCACCCTTAACCACCACGCCACCTGCCAGGTCCCCCTCCCCGTTTTTTTAAGAGAGATTTTTGCTATAGGGTCTGTGTGCTTGCCAGAGAGACAGAAAGTGAGAAGTCATCCCCAGGGGGGATGGCCACACCGCAATCCCATTTCCTCTAGGGATTTTGGGCACACAGGCACATGCGCCTGGTATGAGTTTTAAGCCCACAGATCTGGGACTCAAACTGAGGTCGACTACATGGGATTCCAGCGACATAACCATTACACCATCCGCTGGGCCCTCTGTCATGTTTTTCAAGCTGCTGGGTCCAGGACTTGAATGTGGAGTCAGCCAAGTGGAATCCAGTGCCTTCGTCACCACATCACTCGCTGGCCTGGAAAAAAATCTTATGATTATGTTTATACACTTACTGAATTATAAACATGTATGTATAGCTAGAGAGAAAGTTTAAATGATAGAAAAGGGGAAACATGAGAGAAAAGGACTTTTCTACCTCTCATAGGGCTGGGGAGGTGGGGCTGGCAGCCTGTGAGGATCAGAAGTCCAGCCAAGACAGCACTTGCTTATTTAAATATCAGTCTCTGGTAAATATTTACCCCCAGTGCAGGAAAGAGGGAGGAGGAGAGAGGTCCTGAACCCGCACCAGTCATTTGAAAGCTCCCTTTTTTTTTTTTTTGGAGAGGTTTTCGCTATAGGGCGCGTGCGCTCGCCAGACAGACAGAGAGAGACATAGAGACAGAAAGCGAGAAATCACCCCCCAGAGGGGATGGTCACGCCGCAATCCCTTCTCCTCCATTCTCCTCTCGGGATCTTGGGCACGCACGCACACGCGCCCGGCGTGAGATTTAAGCCACCGGGTCCGGGACGTGAACCGCGGTTGACTACGTGGGAGTCCAGCGACACAGCCATTACGCTAACTGCTGGTTCCCGAAAGCTCCCTTTATATGAGGAGTTCCCTAATGGGTTATTCTCAGCTCTTTCCTCCCTTCATCTGGGCCTCAGCTGTCAAAAGGATTTCCCCATGTTGCTGTTTCAGGGTGGCAGATGGGATTAAGAAGGTCAGAGACGGTAAAGGGTGCTCAAAACTCCAGAGAAATCAAGGTCCTCCTCACCCAGAGATAGGAAAGGTGACAGCTCCTCCCCGACCAGGTGGCCCCAAAACCCATTCACACAGCAGCAGCCAGTGGGAGCTTCCCAAGTGCAAATCCGATCAGATCATCCACCCCTCCTTAAAACCATCTCATTGCCATCCAATTTTAATCCGAATTCTCTGGCTGCAAGGCCCTGCTGAATCAGAAATACTGGCACGCTAAGCGCCAGGCCCAACCAGGTGGAACTGCAGTTCTCTCTGGCACCTAGTTTTTTTTGTTTTGTTTTGTTTTGTTTTTGTTTTTTCCCTCTCCAATCTTTTGCCTGGAAACTTTTTCTCCGATACTGTCATTGTGATAACTTCCCCCATGCAACAGGCCTCAGCCGCTGGGATGTCGCTTCTGCCAGGAAACCTTCCCAGACTCCTCATACCAGTTAGGTGCCACAGTAATCAGAGTGCCTCGGCTTTGGCTGTCAGATACATGAGGGCAGTCCCTCCTGCCTGTCTCCGCGTTGAGTCGGGGCGTTTTGGGGCCAAGACTCGATGACGTCCACAAGGTGCCCGCCAGCTCTGTCATTCTATCCCGACTGGGAGCTTGTTCTAGCCTGGAGCAGAGGCTGAGGGCAGATGACTGGGCCTGGCTATTTTGGGACGTGCGGCCGGGTCTTTGGGAGGATGGTGACGAATGGCGAGCGTATTCCTTTAAGGGAGAGGAGGGCCCCAGAAGCGTGCCCCTCACAAAGGTGGACGAAGCCCAGCCCGGCGGGATGTCTGCCCCTCACAAGGATGGCCCCCGCGGTAGGCGCGGGATTCTGATTGGTGCAGGTGGATGTACGGGGTGGCGCTGATTGGCGGAGACGGGGGCGTGTCGGGACGAGACGAGGCGGGGCGGAGCCCCGGGCCCTCCCTCCGGGCCCAGAATGCCGCCGGCCTTGCCAGGACTATGTCGCAGGCACGGAGCCACCTGCGCGCTGCTCTGTCCCTGGCAGCGGTGTCCGCACGCGGCTCAACGGCTGGGGTCATGGCGCGGCGTGGACTGAGCGCGCGGCCTGCGCCTCAAGAGCCTGGCATGGAGTATCAGGTATCCGGCGGCCTGCGGGCGACCTTGTGATGACACGTGGGCAGGGCCTGAGCCGCACTGCATCCCGGCCCCGCCTGCTGAGGGGGGGACCTGGAGCCAGCGACTAGGAGACTCGAGGGGGGTGGGAACATCCTGCAGTCCAGGGGTGGGAATAGGGACCAGGAAGTTGGGCTTGGGCGGCCGGATCTGGGAATTCTGAGACTGTAATGGCCGGCGGGTAGAGGGCGGGAACGAGCCTGGTGGTAGGACCGAGAGGTCCAGAGGCTCAGCTGAGATTCTGGAGTTTCACTGACCCCCGAGTCCGAGCCGGCAGCGGAAGGCGAGGAAATGGGGAGGGAAGGGAGTCTGGAGTTCAGACTTGAAAAACCCAGGAGTGTAAATCTGGGGGTGGGTTGTCCAGGATTCAGAAGTTTGGAGATCCAAGTGCCTGGAATTGCAGGGCAGGCAGGAATCAGGAGCTGTGTAGAGCCCAAGAATCTGGAGCCCTGGGGGAAAATAAACAGCACCCCGACTCCCACCCCATTGGGGACTCTGTTGAGGCTCTGTGACCCAAGGCACACCCCTCCTCCCTCCTAGCCCTCTTCTCTCCCCATCTGGTTGTGTCCAGCAGCTCTTTTCTGGGTCAGAATGTGGAACCCAAGACTCCTCAAGGTTGGGCCCGGAGGCCTCCAGGAATGATAAGGCTTGTGTGGCTCTGATGCCATCCTAGCAGGGGCCCAAAATAGTGTGGACCCCATTGGAAGGGGTGAGGGCAAAGGCCCAGGGGTGAAACAGATGTACAGATAGCAAGGCTAGCCCCATTAATCTTGCTTCATTCTTGGCCTGATGCTCCCTGGGTGGGGCTGAACTGCCCCAGGCTGCTGTCTTGCTAGATCTGGGAAGATGCCACTTCTCTCTCCAGTCGCTTAACTTGAAGGCTGGGCCCATGCTGCCCTCGCTTCGCCACTGGTGTGCTGGGTGGTGCCTCGGTCCCTGTAGTTCCTTAGTGAGCCGTAACCCGTGTTCTGGGGACTGGTTGCTAGGATGCCGTCCGCATGCTCAACACCCTGCAGACCAATGCCGGCTACCTGGAGCAGGTGAAGCGCCAGCGGGGCGACCCCCAGACACAGCTGGAAGCCATGGAACTGTACCTGGCACGGAGTGGGCTGCAGGTAAGAGGGGAGGGACCGTGATCATCTCCCACCCTGTCTGTGAGTCCTGTAGCTGAGGTGGGGACCTTGTCTATCTTGCTAGGTGGAGGACTTGGACCAGCTGAACATCATCCACGTCACTGGGACCAAGGGGAAGGTAGGGGGCAGGACCCAGGGTGGGCTGTCTGCTTGCTGGGCTGCTGGGTGGCCTGCCTGGACAAAACCTTTTCTTCCTAGGGCTCCACCTGTGCCTTCACTGAATGCATTCTTCGAAGCTATGGCCTGAAGACAGGTTTCTTTAGGTACTGAGGTGTGGGGGGTTGTGGTGTCCCTGACCTCTCTGGAGGGCTGTGGAGCCAGCCCATACTTAAGGGCCATGGCCAAGCAAGAGGTCAGCATTTATTCATTCAACAAACAATTAGCACTTCCCATATTGGCCCAAGTTTATGGCAGTCCTGAGTTTACAGAATGAAAAAAATAAAATGAAGAGAAGGGCTCTTGTATGCTAGCCAGAGAAAGAGAGAGGGAAAGAAAACCCCCCCCCACCCCCACCACCACCCCCGAAAAACTGGGCATGTCACAACCCCTCCATTCTCCTCTCCATCCTCCTCTCTGGATTTTGGGCACACAGGCACACACACCTGGCATGTTTTTCAAGCCACCAGCTGTGGGATTGAATTGTACAGTTGGCTCTGTGGGATCCAGCACCTTAACACTGCGCCACCTGCTGGCCTCCCAAATACAATTTTCAAATCATAAAAACTTTGTTATCCGAGTAGCAAGTGGCATGGTGGTTAAGGGTGCTAGACTTCCACATGGTCAACTGCAGTCTGAGTCCCAGACCTGGTGGCTTCTTTCTCACTCTCCCTCTCTCTCTCACTCTGTCCCTTTCTGGTCAAATTAAAATAAATAAAGTTAAATAAAATAATTATAAAAAATTTTTTTTGTTATCAACTAGGCTGTCTTTGCAGTAAGGAGCAGAAATCTGTCTTGTGAGGGCTTACACAGTAAGGGTGGTTGTTGCTGTTCCTGTCAAGGCCTACCCAGGTGGGCAGCAGGGCCCTGCCAGCCACAGCTGTAGCATTCGTGTGCCATTTTGGTTATGCTCCGATACCAAGACTCACATGGGAGGAACAGGAAGTAGAACATGACTGGGTCCTCCCACTGCTATACGTGCCTCTTCTGAGCTGGTCCCAGTAGAGCATGGGATCAGCCTGCAGGTTATTTCCCCAGGATTTGTTCCCTAGGGTTGAGGTATCCAAGATTTTTGCTCCTTTTTTTTGGAGAGGTTTTTGCTGTAGAGCGCATGCACTCACCAGAAAGACAGAAACAGAGAAACAGAAAGCGAGAAATCACCTCCCAGAGGGGATGGCCACGCCGCAGTCCCCTCTCCTCCAGTCTCCTCTCGAGATTTTGAGCACGCACACACACGCGCCAGCATGAGTTTTAAGCCACCAGGTCTGGGACTTGAACTATGGTCAACTACCTGGGAGTCCATCCACATAGCCATTACGCCAACTGCTGGTCCCGATTTTTCTTCTTTTTATTTACTTTTTATTTTTCAGGTTTTTGTTACAGGGCAGGTGTGCTCACCAGAGAGAGAGACAGTGAGAAGGAAAGTGAGAAATCACTCCCCAGGGGGGATGGCCACACTGCAGTCTCTCCTCCTTCTCCCCTTCTCAGGATTTTGGGCACACACGCACATGCATCTGGTGCAATATTCAAGCCGCTGGTCCAAAATTAGAACCGTAGAGTCGACTCTGTGGGGTCCAGCACCTTAACCCCCGTGCCACCTGCTGGCCCACCACTCTTTATTTTACCTGTCCCCTTAGGGCACCTTTATGAGCATCTGAAACCAGCTGACCAAGGTCATTTCAGACCAGCATGTCTTCCCAGACAGTTCTTTATGCAAAAGAAAGAACAGGAAAGAAGGACTCATTATAGGAGAGGGTCTTGAGGATTCAGACCTAAGGTGGCATCAATCTGTCTTCTAAAATGATATTTTGGGTGAAAACCCTAACCTTCACCTGTGGCCTGAGGGCTGACCCAGATGCAGCTTGAACCCAGTAGACTGTGTCTTGTCCTCGAGGTGGACAGATGGACACTGTGACATGGGGCACATGTTAACAGAGTAGTTCATGGTGTGTGCTGGGGAGAGCGAGGGCCTGTCAGAGCCCAGAAATCATGCGAGACTAGCCTGGGAGCCAGGGTCCTGGGGGTAGAAAGGGGAGATGGGGACTAGAGGGACAGACCTAGTCCAGAAACAAGAGACACAGGAGAGGGGAGGCATGAGGCCAGTGGCATCATCCCCTGCAAGGCCTGGGGAGGCTGTGGTGAGTAGCTGGGACCCTCTTGAAGGCAGTGGGACCATAAAGGCATTTTCAGCAGGGGAGTGACATGATCAGATCTGTGTTTCTTTTTTTTTTTAGCATGAGTTTTAAGCCACCAGGTCTGGGACTTGAACTATGGTCAACTACCTGGGAGTCCATCCACATAGCCATTACGCCAACTGCTGGTCCCGATTTTTCTTCTTTTTATTTACTTTTTATTTTTCAGGTTTTTGTTACAGGGCAGGTGTGCTCACCAGAGAGAGAGACAGTGAGAAGGAAAGTGAGAAATCACTCCCCAGGGGGGATGGCCACACTGCAGTCTCTCCTCCTTCTCCCCTTCTCAGGATTTTGGGCACACACGCACATGCATCTGGTGCAATATTCAAGCCGCTGGTCCAAAATTAGAACCGTAGAGTCGACTCTGTGGGGTCCAGCACCTTAACCCCCGTGCCACCTGCTGGCCCACCACTCTTTATTTTACCTGTCCCCTTAGGGCACCTTTATGAGCATCTGAAACCAGCTGACCAAGGTCATTTCAGACCAGCATGTCTTCCCAGACAGTTCTTTATGCAAAAGAAAGAACAGGAAAGAAGGACTCATTATAGGAGAGGGTCTTGAGGATTCAGACCTAAGGTGGCATCAATCTGTCTTCTAAAATGATATTTTGGGTGAAAACCCTAACCTTCACCTGTGGCCTGAGGGCTGACCCAGATGCAGCTTGAACCCAGTAGACTGTGTCTTGTCCTCGAGGTGGACAGATGGACACTGTGACATGGGGCACATGTTAACAGAGTAGTTCATGGTGTGTGCTGGGGAGAGCGAGGGCCTGTCAGAGCCCAGAAATCATGCGAGACTAGCCTGGGAGCCAGGGTCCTGGGGGTAGAAAGGGGAGATGGGGACTAGAGGGACAGACCTAGTCCAGAAACAAGAGACACAGGAGAGGGGAGGCATGAGGCCAGTGGCATCATCCCCTGCAAGGCCTGGGGAGGCTGTGGTGAGTAGCTGGGACCCTCTTGAAGGCAGTGGGACCATAAAGGCATTTTCAGCAGGGGAGTGACATGATCAGATCTGTGTTTCTTTTTTTTTTTTGCAATTTTTTTTTTTGAGAGGTTTTTGCTATAGGGCTCATGTGCTCACCAGAAAGACAGAGAAAGAGAGATAGAAAGTGAGAAATCACCCCCCCAGGGAGGATGGCCATGCTGCAATCCTTTCTCTTCCATATCCTCTTGGGATCTTGGGCACACATGCACATGCGCCCGGCGTGAGTTTAAGCCACTGGGTCTGGGACTTGAACCATGGTCAACTATATGGGAGTCCAGCGATATAGCCATTACGCCAACTGCTGGTCCTCAGATCTGTGTTTCTAAGAGGCGAGTCTAACTGAAGGGCAGGGAAGGCTAGGGGCTTGGGAGGGAAGCCCCGATGACCCCAGGTCTCCCGGCAGCTCTCCCCACCTGGTGCAGGTGCGTGAGCGGATCCGCATCAACGGGCAGCCCATCAGTCCCGAGCTGTTCACCAAGCACTTCTGGCGCCTCTACCACCGGCTGGAAGAAACCAAGGTGCCCTGGGTAGGAGGGCTGGGGGGTCGAAGTGGGTATCGGGATGCCGGAGTGGGGGAATAGACCCAGAGACGCTGGACGACCCAGGGCCCCATTCCCCAGAGCACAGGTTGTGGGGCTCTGGGTCTGATGCAGTTCTCTGCTGTAGGACGGCAGCTGTGTCTCCATGCCTGCCTACTTCCGCTTCCTGACCCTCATGGCCTTTCACGTCTTCCTCCAAGAGAAGGTGCATGCCCACTCCCCAGAACCCTGCATCTGACCTTGGGGGACGGGAACCTCAGCCTGCTGGGAGGGCCCTCTGCTCCTGTGTGGCATCCAGCCACTGCCATGCCCTCTGGTCTTTTGCAGGTAGACCTGGCAGTGGTGGAAGTGGGCATTGGCGGGGCCTATGATTGCACCAACATCATCAGGTGAGGGTGGCTGCTTGGGGAGTGGGCTGGCAGCAGGAGCCCAGGCCTCACCCACTGCCCCTGGGCCAGGACAGGGCTTCATGGCTCTTTCATCTTCTGCAGGAAGCCTGTGGTGTGCGGTGTCTCCGCTCTTGGCATTGATCACACCAGCCTTCTGGGGGACACGGTGGAGAAGATCGCATGGCAGAAGGGGGGCATCTTTAAGGTGAGCAGGCTGGCTGTGGAGGGGAGGACGAGGTCCTGGGTATCAGTGGGGTCCATTCTTGTCCCACCTCGGCTGTGTGACTGGAGCAAGTGAGGCCCTCTCCAGCCTCGACCTTCCACAGGCTGAGTGGAGCCTGGACTCAGGGACGTGTGAGGCAGAGATGGAGCGTACAGGCCCTCGGCAGCCCCATCTCAGTTTTCCTGGCCCCACAGCATGGTGTCCCGGCCTTTACTGTGCTCCAGCCCGAAGGACCCCTGGCAGTGCTGAGGGATCGAGCCCGGCAGGTCTCTGTGAGTGACTGGAATGGGGTGGCGGGTGGGTGCTTATGGGTGCATATGTCTACCTGGCTGGCAAGGCACGTTCTCCTTTGGGCCTCAGTTTGCTTGTCTGTAAAGGAGGGAGCTGGGCTGGCTGCTCAGTCCTGGGTGCAAGGCTGGGTGGCTTCTGGTTGGTAGGTAGAGTGGGAGGGCAGATGGGATCAGGAAGGGCCTACTGGCCTGCGTGGCAGTGGCAGTACTGCTGACCAGCTGCTGCCTGTCTCTGTAGTGCCCTCTCTACCTGTGCCCACCCCTGGAAGCCCTGGAGGAAGGGGGGCCGCCACTGACCCTGGGCCTGGAGGGAGAGCACCAGCGGTCCAATGCTTCCTTGGCCCTGCAGCTGGCCCGCTGCTGGCTGCAGCAGCAGGACCACCAGGGTGAGTGGGCAGGCAGGTGGGCAGGCCCACATGGAGCTGGCCTTGAGGGTCCTGAGCACTCATGGTCTCACACTCCCCACAGGCATTGGGGAGCTGACGGCCTCCAGGCCAAGCCTCCCACGGCAGCTGTCCCTGGCACCAGTGTTCCAGCCCACGGCCCACATGCGGCGTGGTGAGTTGGGCCTTCCTGCCCAGCAGGTTTCCCTGCGTTCCTTCAGGTGTTCCTTTCCATTTCCGTTTGGGGGTACCTGAGAGAAAGACTCTGAAGTCAACACCTCTCTGACCTTGAGCTCATGGGTTCGTTCTGAACTCGGTTTCCTCTTCTGCCAAGTGAGATAATGATAGGACCTGCTGCCCAGGGTAGTTGTGAGGACGCAGAGAGTTGACGTCACTAAGGTGCTCAGCCCAGAGGCTGGGTTTGGGATAAATGCCCAGCCAGTGGTAGCTGTTGTCACTGTCATTGTCATCATCAGCCCATGAGGATGGTGATGCTATCATCTGTTCTTACCTCCCCTAAAGCGTTCAGCACATAGTAGGTGCTCAAACAAATGTTTCCCGTGTGCCTGCTGTATGCCAGGTCCATGTCAGGGGTTGGTGACATTGCCCAGACCCCAGGTAGGTATCCGATTACATACTGGCCTCCGAGTTGCTTGCTCTGTAAACTGAGGCTGTCAGGTGGGAGTAACAGTGAGATAACAGCCCTTTCTAAGGGTTGCCCGGGACATTCCACCGCTCAGACCACTGGAGCGGTGCCTGGTGCTAGAAGAGGCTCTCGGCTGGAGAGGACAGCCTGCGGGAAGAGCCCCTGGGCGCCTGTGCAGTTAGGGACTGCTGGAGACCATCCTCCCGGAGGGAGGGCTTTTTCTTGGCGGCCACTGTAGGACCACCTTGCTTACTGCCCCAGGGCTGAGGGAAACGGAGTGGCCGGGCCGGACGCAGGTGCTGCGGCGCGGGCCCCTCACCTGGTATCTGGACGGCGCGCACACCACCAGCAGCGTGCAGGCCTGTGTGCGCTGGTTTCGCCAGGCGCTGCAGGGCCGCGTGAGACCAAGCGGGTGAGCGCCGGACGTGGGCGGAGCCTAGGGCGGAGTGTGGGCGGGGCCCAGGTAGGGGCGGGGCCTGGGCAGGGCCAGTGGGTAGGCGGAACTAGCGAGGCTGCTCTCTTGACCAGCTCCTTTCCCGTGGCGCAGGGGTCCTGAGGTGCGTGTCTTACTCTTCAACTCCACCGGGGACCGGGACCCGGCGGCCCTTCTGAAGCTGCTGCAGGTGAGGGTCCTAGTTGGGGATAGGCTGCAAGCAGCCCAGCAGCCCCGATTCTGGCTGTGCGACCCCTCGTAGGGGCCTCGGTTTCTTACACCAAAATGGTGTCCATCCCCTCCCTTGACTCCTACTGAGTGTTGAGTGTGAAAGCACTGGGCTCCTGGGGAAGTCCAGGCATAGGCCTTGCACTCGTTCTCTGTGGTCGACTCAAGCTCAGGGTTAGAGGGAGGACCACATAGTGGTTAGAAATGCGGGCTCTGGTCTCGCTTGTCATGCCCCTACCCTGGGCCAGAGATGGCCTCGGTTTATCTCCCCACCAAGAGAGGGCCTGCCGCTGGAGTTTGGTTTGTGTCACTGGGCTGTAAAACACATACAGACCCTTTTTTCCCTGGGGAAACTGAGGCCGAGTGTTGAGTGCCCAAGTGGCTCCTCGGGGTCATCCCCATTTCCCAGGCTGGGAAGCTAAGGCTGTTGGGATCCAGTGCCTCCCCCATTTGTGCCAACAGCTTTTCCCCAGCCTGGATTGGGGGGCTGCTCACTAGCTGGGTGACCTTAGCAAGTCTAGTCTTAGCCTTGTCACCTGCCCCGCCCCCCCAGCCTCTATCCCCGGAGAAGGCCATGCCTTCACTCCCCAGGGTATACTGAGGCAGATGGGGTGGGTGGGGGGACTGAGGACTGATTTATCAGTCCAGTTTAGCCTGGGGTTAGAGGGCAGCATCTCCAGAGATGTGGGCTTGGGGTTGGGGGGCATCCTCTTGTGGGGGCTGACACCAAGTCTTTCCCCTTGGCCTTCTAGCCTTGCCAGTTTGACTATGCCGTCTTCTGCCCCAACCTGACAGAGGTGTCACCCATGGGCAGTGCAGGTGAGAGGTGGCAGCCATGATTCCTGGGGGTTCACTGCTCTGCTGGTGACAGTGGGGTTTCTGAACTGGGGGCCTGGGGTATGAGGTAGCTTTGCTTTGTTATATAAAACCCCTTGGCATACTTTGGATTTTGTACAGTGTAGCAGCAGTACTAAAAGGAATTATTGGGGAGGACATTTTTCAGTTACAGCCCACTGGTTGCTGAGTTCAATTTAGTGTCTCTGAGTCAGTTTTTTTTTTTTTTTTTTTTACTTTAAATGAACTAGAGTAGAATAGAAAAAAATCAGTGTATGGAGACCAGCAGGTGGCATGGTGGTTAAAGTGCTGGACACTCCCACATGGTGACCACGGTTCTAGTCCCAGACTTGGTGGCTTGCTTTCTCACTTTTCCTCTCTCTCTCTCTCTGGTCAAATTAAAATAAATGAATGACTAAAGAAATTTTAAAAAAGTAAAAAGAAAAAAATTAGTGTGTGGGGCCAGCAGATGGTGTGATGGTTAAGGTGCTGGACTCCAACATGGCTGACTACGGTTTGAGCCGTGGACCCGGCAGCTTGAAAAATCATGTTGGGCGCATGTGCATGCATGCCCAAAATTCTGAGAGGAAGGTAGATGCGAAAGGACTTGACATGGCCATGCTCCCCCGGGGAGTGACGTTTCACTTTCCCTCTCTCTGTCTCTGGCGAACACATGTGCCCTGTGGCAAAAGCCTAGAACAGAAAGATCAGCATGTTTTTCATGAAGTGAAGGTAGATTCTGTCTATGAAGATTCTATTCTGGGAGTATAAGTCTGCATGTTCTGGGTTAAACTTCAGATATTTCTTTTTTGGGAAACAGCAGTTAGCGTAATGGCTATGTCGCTGAACTCCCACGTAGTCGACCGCGGCTCGCGTCCCGGACCCGGTGGCTTAAAACTCACGCTGGGCGCGTGTGCGTGCGTGCCCAAGATCGCGAGAGGAGAATGGAGGAGAAGGGATTGCGGCGTGACCATCCCCCCTGGGGGGGTGATTTCTCGCTTTCTGTCTCTAATATATCTCTGTCTGTCTGGCGAGAGCACGAGCCCTATAGTGAAAATCTCTCCAAAAAAAACCCACCAGATATTTCTTTTTACTGTGCCTCGTGTTTTAAGTTTGAAGTACTGTAAAACACAGTGGCGTGGTGGGGGACAGTGCACGGGAAGACTGTGGTTTCACATCTGGAGACCTCCCCTGAGAATGGGTGCACATGTGTCCTGATCCTAGCTGGTCAGGCAAGGGCAGCAGGGGTAGCTCTCAATGTCTGTGCCCTTTAGGGGGCGCTGTAGCTCTGTCTCTTTCTGTCTCTTTTGCTTATGGAAGAAATTCATCAGACTGACCTGGAGAGTTCTGGGATTTGCCTTATTATCCAGCTTCCCCAGAAATACTCATGGCCGGCCACCTGGTGGTGAATCCCAGCGGATGTCTATTTCACAGAGGGCAGTCCAGCCAGAGGGGAGAAATGGTGCAAAGTTGTGGAGCTAGACTGCCCGGTCCTGCCTTCCATGACCTTGGGCAGGTCACGGAGTCACTGTCTGAGCCTCAGTTTCTTTCTTTCTTTTTTTTTTAAATAATTTAATTTTTATTTATTCATTTATTTTAATTTTACCAGAGAAAGACACAGAAAGAGGGGGAGAGTGAGAAAGTGAGAAAGCAAGCCACCAGGTCTGGGACTTGAACCGTGGTCAGCCATATGGGAGTGTCCAGCGCCTTTACCACCACCCCATCTACTGACCCCTTCTTTCTTTCTTTCTTTAAATAATTATTTAATTAATTAATTATTATTATTTTTTTTTACATGCATTTTGCCAGAAAAAGACAGAGAGGGAGAGGGAGAGGGAGAAAGTAAGCCACCAGGTCCAGGACTCGAACTGCGTCAGCCATGTGGGAATTTCAATGCCCTAACCTCCAAACCACCTGCTGGCCCCCAAGCCTCAGTTTCTTCAGTGTGCACTGTGAAGGCCACTAGCAGTCTGCTGACACGACATGTGCAAAGGCCAGGTGCTGAGCTGGTGCTTTCTCAACCCCCACTTCCCGTCCCCTTTGCTGAAGGCCTGTCTCTGTGCCCCACAGACCAACAGAACTTTACGGTGACGCTGGACCAGGTGCTGCTCCGCTGCCTCGAACACCAGCGGCACTGGAGCCACCTGGATGAGCAGCACACCAGCCCAGATCTCTGGAGCAGCCCCAGCCTGGAACCTGGAGGGTCCGCATCCCTGCTGTTGGCGTCCCACCCACCCATGCCCAGCGGTGCCAGCTCACTTGTCTTCAGCTGTATCTCTCATGCCCTGCAGTGGATCAGCCAAGGCCGGGACCCCGTCTTCCAGCCTCCTCCTCCCCCAAGGGGCCTCCTCGCCCATCCTGTGGCCAGCAGTGGGGCCAGCGAGCTCCGAGAGGCTGCTGCCATCCACGTGCTGGCCCCGCCCAGCCTGCACCTGGTGGGTGGTGTCCTGAAGCTGCTGGAGCCCTCCTTGTCCCAGTAGCCAAGGCGGCAGCGGGGGGAGGCTCCTGGGAGGCAGGGGCCTTTCCCACCTGGCCGGTGTCCTTATGAACTCACATACTAGGTGCCTTCTACTTTCTGCTCCCCTGATTTGATGGACTGGTCCAGAGACCCGGGCTCTGGGTGGTGGAATAGAGGGCGGGGGGCAGGAGGCTGGGAGAGGCCGTCCTCCATCTCCGAGGTCCTGTGTCTTGGCCTTTCCTTCCTCCCGGGACTCTCTGTTGTAGCAGTCTGGCAGCCCCGCCTGTCTCCCTCCCACCCGCCTGCCTCTGGCTCAGGGCCAGCTTATTGTGTGTGCTGCCTGGCCAGGCCTGGGTCCTGCTGGGTGCTGGGCGATAAATTTCCTCTTCCCACTGTCTTCTGGGAAAGGAGAGGGCCCCTGCCGGGGGCACCCTGAGGGCACAGGGTGACTGGAGGGAATTAAAGTCTTTGACTTTTTTTTAAAGACACCACAAAACCTTTGGCTGCCTCTTAACCTCTGGCCCTCAGCAGACAACGAGGATGAGGCTGGTAAAGGAATCGAGTTGTGCAGAGGGAGCTTGGGCTGTGTGGCCTGGGACATCCCTCCCTACCTCCATCCGAGCCAGATGGCTTGTCTGTGACATGAGAAGACCGGACAGATACCTGCTGATGATATGCCAGGCACTTCTTTGCAGAGACCTTGTGACTGAGAGTGATGCCCATTTCACAGATGCAGGAACCGTGGGTTTCTAGAAGCCAGGGGGACCTGTCTACAGTCACACAGCCGATAAGTGGCAGGTGAGGACTCGAACTCAGAGCTGTTGAGGGCCTGTTTTCCAAACCCCAGGGTGAGAGTGGATGGGGCCTTCTGAGTTTGGTTGCTCAGTCCCTTGGTCCCAGGGACACGCTGTGAATGGTAGGCTAATCCAGACCTGCAGTACGTGGCCACCTGCGGCTGTTCAGGGTGTTACCTGCCATCAGGCCAGCCCAGTGGGGACCGAGGACAAGAGCAGCCCTGCTCTGGGCCCGTAGTCCCTCCCATAGCCTCACCCCCATTTTACACGTCCCACCCCTTCTCCCCACCCAGCCCAGTGCTGGTTTCATGGTCTGATTTATTGGTGGCGAATATACAGGGGTGGACCCAGGACACTGGGTGTGGCCTCTCCCCACCTGCTGCCTGCCCAGTGGGCTGGAGGGGGCTTCCGTGTGGCAGTTGCAGTGAGGAGCTGGGCTCCTCTACCTCCGCTGTTCCTTCCCTGCTCTGAGTCCCATCTAAGCACCCCTAAGCCTCTGTTTCTCCCACAAAGTTATGCCGGTCCGGGTGTGGAGGCTGCTGGGACCAGATCCAGGCGGCTCTGGGCTGGCCCCACGTCCATTCCCACAGATGAGGCGTGGCCAGCAGGGTGGGCAAGGCTGGTCAGTTTCAAGTTCTCACCTCCCACCCAGCCCAGCTGTCCAGGGCTGGCACTGGGAGCAGATGATAGACCTGTCGCCCTCAACAGTAGGGACACACAGGGAAGCCGTCTCTCTCTGTGGTCCTGGGCAGCCATGTCCCAGATCCACTGCAGCTGAAAGTTCTAGGGAGTGGGGTGGGGGGACCCCAAGGTGCTCCATGCTGGTGCCCCGCTGGCAGCAGGCCTCTAAGAAAGGCGGGCAGGGCAGGTGCAGAGGGCATGCTCCATCCTTGGCCGCATGGAGGGGCTGTGGTCCCGGGGTGAGTTCATGGCCAGCGGGTCCCAGCTGGCGGCTGCGCAGTCTCTCTTGCCAGGTGCGGGCTGGCTGGGGGCCCCTGTGCTCCACGCTGGGTACTACGCCATGCTGCTGGTGGAGCAGGGGGTGCTCTGGGTGCTCCCAATGCTGTGGTTGGTGCTGCTGCTCTCCGAGGCGGCCGGGGCAGCCACCGCCACCACGGGCTCCCGCTTGCCTAGGGGACCTGGGGGCGGGGCAGGGGCGGAGGTCAGGGCCCCGGCCAGGGCGCCCCACTCCACCAGGCCCCAGGTGGTGGTAGAAGGGCCCCGGGTGCTCGTGGCATGGCCTGGGATACTCACGCGTGTGGGAGTAGATGCACCAGAGCGCGGCCGTGAGCAGGGCCCCGATGAGGAAGGCGCCGAAGGCAATGCCCAGCACAGCGGGCAGGAGGAGGCCTTTGTCTGTGCAACCTGGAGGGCCAGCCACAGTCAGTGCCAGCGCCACCTCCCCGGCCCGGCCCGGCCCGGCCCGGCCCGGCCCGGCCTCAGCAGGCTGGACAGGAGCACAGGCTTTGGTTCTTGGCCACTGACTGACTTCTCTGAACCTCAGTCTCCTTGTCTAGCAAATGGGCTCATCACACCCATGTCTGGCCTGAAGCCGTGGGTGCCATGTGAGCGCTCCCCCCAGAAGACCTTGCCTCCTGAGTCACGCCTCTGCTCCAGGCTCGCAGGTGCATTTGGGGAGGGGCTGGTGCAGTGTGAGCAAAGTCCAAATGGGGCCTAGGGGGCCCAGAGGCTGCCCTACCCTGCCCCGCTGTATGCCCTCAGGCCGGCCCCTTCTCCCTGAGCCCCACACCAGGTACAGAATGGACCCGAGCACCTCTGAGGCCTCGTCAGCCCTGCTCAAGGCCTGGGACAAGCCCCATGTCCTTCCATACTCCCGACTCCTGTGTGACGATGGGCTAGGCAGCCCCCCTTTGGCTCTGACCTCCCCATCAGTGCCTCAGGGCTGTCAGCCCTGCTTTCTTGGTCCTGGCCGGGGCTAGGGGCTCCATCCTGGCCTGGTTGGAGGTGGGTGTCCCTACCACAACCTCTGTGTGACTTCTCTGCTGGTGGGGGCCTGGGCCCGGGGGAATTAACAGGCTGGAGGGCACCGTCTGAAAGGGCACCCTCACACTGGGTGTCTAGGAAGGCAAGGCTGGCACTACCCCAAGGTGCCTTTTGTCTATGCCAGGGGCCACAGGGTGGCCACGAGCATAGGGTCTCCTCGGTGACAGCTGTGGGCCCTATGCAGGCACTGGGCCCTGGGAAGCCTGCCTGCCCCTCTTCTGCTGCTGTCTCAGGACCCCCAGTGCCTGCCCAGCTCCGCCCCTCCACTGTTCCCCACTCTGCCCTCAGCTGCTGGGACAAAGCCCAGGGAGACCCGCAGGAAGCTCACCAGACAGGTCAGGGCTGATGATGTTCAGGTGCATGGAGACGGTCCTGAGGACTGCCTGAGGGAGGAAGAGCTGGGGTTGACACAGTGGACTCCTGGTCCTGCCTACCCTGGAGCTTTGCTTCGACTCCATCTCTGCCCATTCCCAGAGGGTGCCGGGGGGGGGCATGTCCTGGAGGCCTTGGGCTCTGGACAAGGCCTGGCCACTGCTGGGCATTTCCTGTGAGAGCCCGGAAGCGCTTGGAGCTCTGCTTCCAGCACCCTTGAGAACTCCTTGGAGCGATGGGCCAGGTCTTTCAGGAAAGCCGAGTTCTAGTGGCAGATAGAGGCAGGGGAGGAGGCCCAGCTCACCACGCAGAGGGAGGGGCCCTCTTGGGGTGGCCCCGAAGGCTTCCCTAGGTTCATAGAACTAGAGGTTTCTAATCCTGGAAACCTCTCTGTGTGCAAGGGCCTAGGGTTGCCCCTGAGTGTGTCAGCTGAGTGTCCTAGCCCAGAGTCGTAGATGGGGAAGGACGTTAAGTAAGTGCAGAAAATCAGGATTTCTTTATCGCCCCCTCTTCCCTAAGGTCTGTTCACTAAGATCATGTGGTGCAGTCCACGTGGTGGGGGGATGGATTCCTCGGTGGGATGGTGGAAATAGAGGGATGGATGGACGGCTGGACAGGACAGCCAGGAGAGGGGGATGATGGCGTGGGAGGGTAGGTTGGCGGTGCGTGGATAATACGCACATCCTGGCCAAACGCAGCAATCCCACAAGATGCTGAGGGTGGCAGAAGAGGTGACCCTGGGTGCTAGATGGTGAAACCACATGCCCAGCCACGCTCTGCCCCTTCCCAGCTGGCTCCACGTCCCCCTGGGCTGTCTGCAAACTTAGAAGCCAGCCTTGAAGGTGGGCCTGGCCAGGTCTTGCTCACCTGGGACAAGGTCCTGGAATGCAGGGCTATGGTGCAGCTGAGGGTGCCGGCTGTAGGTGGGGAAACCATGTAGCCACGGAGGAGGAAGCTGAAGCGCGGGTCCCCATCAGGGCCAGGGGGCAGCAGGCTCACACAGCTGCCCTTGGCCGCCTGGCCCTGGATGAGTTCCACGATTCTTTCATGAGTTCCTTTCATCTCAGGCCCCAAATCCAGGTAGCAGCTGTCCAGCTGGAGCTCAAGCTCGGGGACCAAGGGCGACACGCTCACCTGCGTGGGTAGGTGGGGGGAGGAGGTGTGGGCAGGCGTGCTTACCCCTCTGCCCCACCGCTGGTTTGAAATAAGCCAGAGGAAGATGCCCACCCTGAGTCCTGAGTGGAAGGAAAGGCTCCATGGGCTTGGTTCCGTAACAATGGAGAAAGAGGGGATCCAGGAATCTGGGGTGAGGGGGAGTCCCGGTGAGGGCAGGAGGGGAGGCAGTGCACAGTACCTGTACGAAGCCCTGCTGCCCCAATTCCATGGTGCTGGAGGCCTGGAGGAATTGCGGGCTGAGGTAGAGGCCCAGCTGGAAGGAGAGGCCTTCCAGGTCAACACAGTGCACCTTTTTCTGTGAGAGAATGGGAGAGAGACACGGTCAGTTAGGGTGGCACCAGCCAGGAAGGTGAGGGCATGGGAGTGGGGCAGGCAGCAGGGCCCACAGGAGTCGCCAGACCCTTGTTTTCAAATTAACAAACAAACAAAAAACCTCAAAATTGGGCCAGCCAAGTGGTGTAATGGTTAAGGCAGCTGGATCCTACACAGCTGACTGACTGAGTGCCAAACCCGGCAGCTTGGAAAACATGCTGGGCACGTGTATATGTGTGCCCAACACATCCCGAGAGAACGGAGGAGGAACTGCGGCCAGGCCATCCAGTTTCCCTTGCTCTGGTGAGCGTACGTGCCCTATAGCAAATAATCACTTAAGGCTAGTGTGGATTAGGGACACGCTCTGCACCGGGCTCAGGCGACGTGCCTTCGTGCCCATCTCAGGAACGGTCGTGGCGCTCCTCTGGAAGGACCTGGGGTTGCCCCTTCTCAGGACACAGTCTGCAGTGATGACCTTTGGGTCCATAGGTCCAAAGCCACACAGCAGAGGTTGACAGTGTCACCCTCTACAGGACTCCCACTGTACAGGAGGGAAGGCCGGGCAAGCTGGAGACGTGGCTTGCCAGGGTCAGGTTTCCCGGGATCTACTCCCTCCACCAGAAGGGGCCCCAGCCTGGGCAGCAGACCCGTGCCCATCCATCTCACCCGCTGTGGTGACAAGCTTGACAGGAAATTGACAACCACCTGCAAGGACAGAGCCAAAGAGCTAGTCAGAGCCAGAAAGACCCCAGGGGGTACCCCACCAACATACCCACTTTATGGGTAAGGAGGCTGCGCCAACCAGTGGCCGACCTTGACCAGGGTCCTTGCCAGGCACCACACCCTTCCCTCAAACAGCCCAGCTTGGGTCAAGGAAGGATCTGGAGGGGGCCTGCCAAGATGGCTCTCATACCTTTCCAGCCCGGCCCTTACCTCATTGCTGACCACGTGTCCCTTCACCTCCGTGCCACAGCTGGTGTAGCTGCTGTGCAGCACCAACTGGTCACCACTGTCCTTCGCCTGGCAGCTGGGGTCCCAGAAGGTCAGGCCCGTGAGGGTGCACTGCAGAGCCTGGGTCAATGGAGGGGGACTGTCAGGGGGCCCGGGTTCCCCGGAGCCTGTCCATCATACCCTGCTGAGGACACGGCAGGGGGCCCGGGCCACAGCCACTCCTCTGCATTCTTCATCCTCAGTCCATCATCCCACACCACTGGAGACTTCTCGCTTCCCAGAACCCCTGAGAGCAGGGTGATCTTCAAAGCTTTGGCAGAGAGGTCCCGCCTCAGACAAGTCACAAAGGGGAAGATGAGTGGCTAGGGTGGTCCAAGCTTTAAAAACATTCGAAAAGTTGGGGGCCAGTTAGTGTCGTGCTGGTTAAAGTAGCTGGAGTCCACATGGCCGACTGCATGGTTTGAGTCCTGGACCCAGCAACTTGAAAAACATGCTGGGGTGTGTGTGAATGCTCAAAATCCTGAGAGGAGAGTGGAGGAGAAGGGGTTGTGGCATAGCCATCACCCTGGGAGGTGATTTCTCACCTTCCCCCTCTGTCTCCAGCGAGCACACATGCCCTACAGCAAAAGATAAGAACAATAAATAAAGGGTCAAAAAGTTAAAAACCACCGTATTCAGAATGTATCTCTCTTTTTGCCAGAGAGTGTGTTGGACCTGCTTTCTCACCAGGGAGAGAGACAGAGAGAAAGCACTCATGCTACACCCTTATTTCCTTTTCCTATCAGGATATTGGGTACACACACACACCACGCCTAACATGTTTCTCAAGCTACTGGCTCAGGAATTTGAACTGCAGTTGGCCATGTGGGATCCGGTTCCCAATGCACTGCACCGAACCACTGTACTACGGGCCGGCCCTAGCCAAAAGGTGAAGCACTACAACAGATTAGGGGAAACGAAGGACAAGGGGCCATTTTATTTTCTCTCTGTAAGAAGCTTAGGAAAGTCATTAAGGGTTTTCGTCCCTGGCTGCTTGAGGATATCCCCCATCATGAATGACACAGTGACTATCCGACCCAGGAAATTCTGACCCACCGACTGCATCAGAGGAAACAAGGCCATGGATGTCTTTCACCCTGGGAAGGCAGCGGCACCTAAGACAGACATTCGGGAAAAGCTAGCGAAGGTGCACAAGACCACACCAGGTGGCATCGCTGTGTTTGGGTTCGGAACCCATTTTGGTGGTGGCAAGACAACTGGCTTTGGCATGATTTACGATTCTTTGGATTATGCAAAGAAAAATGAACCCAAACATAGACTTGCAAGACCTGGTCTTTATGAGAAGAAAAAGACGTCAAGAAAACAGCGAAAGGAACGCAAGAACAGAATGAAGAAAGTCAGGGGGACTGCCAAGGCCGATGTTGGTGCTGGCATTGTCGAAGGAAAAAAGATTCTGCAGTGACTATCTGTGGTGATTGTGCAGATTTTTCATGAGAGGATTAATCAACTAAAAATTTTTAGGTGGAAAAAAAGTCATTAAGAAAAATACACTAGGTGTGCGTGCATGATCAGGGCCCAATATGATGAAGTAATATAATGTAGTAATAATATATAACATTATATTAATATACTTATTAAACATGATATTCAATACAGATACCGAAGTTCTAAACACACATTAAGTGAAAAGCAAGCACGTGTGTTCGTTACGATATCGATATAAGAAATGCACAAGAAACACCAGATGGCACAGAGAAAACGCTCCAGAGAGAAACACTCTGAGACCCTGGCAGCCACTGTGTTTGGGGTGGGGGGATAAATATTTTTTCCTTTTCTAATTTTTTTTTTTTAAGAGAGGTTTTTGCTATAGGGTGCATGCACTCGCCAGACAGACAGACAGAGACAGAGAGACAGAAAGCGAGAAATCACCCCCCAGGGGGGATGGCCACACCACAATCCCTTCTCCATTCTCCCCTCAGGATCTTGGGCACGCACACACATGCGCCCAGCTTGAGTTTAAGTCACTGGGTCCGGGACTCGAACCACGGTCGACTACACAGGAGTCCAGTGACATAGCCATTATGCTAACTGCTGGTCCCTCCTTTTCTAATTTTTACATAGTTTTAAAAAGAAGGCGTTAGGCCAGCAGGTGTGACTGGCACGTGGCCGACCACAGTTTGAGTCCTGGACCTTTGGCTTGCTTTCTCACTTTCCTCTCTCTCTGGTGTGCCTATTGCAAATTTTAAAAAAGAAAAAAAAAGAAAAAAATGATGATAAAATTAAAATAAATAATTATTTTTAAAAAGGAGATGTTGGGGCCAGCAGGTAGTTGGATTCCCACATGGCCAACTGCAGTTCAAGTCCCGGACCTGGTGGCTTGCTTTCTCACTTTCACATTCTATTTCTCTCTCACTCTGTCACTCTCTGGTCAAATTTAAATAAATAAATAAGTAAATGAATAAAGTTAAATTAAAAATTTTAAAAAGGAGGTGTTATTTTTCTAAAATGTTCATTCATCAGTCAGGCAGAGGTTACAGGGTGTGCATATTCTGTGAAGTAACATCTAGCCTGGCCAGCCTTTAGGATTAATAATACCTACTAAGCAGTGGCCTGGTTTACTGAGCACCTGCTCCGTACCACAGCTGCCGTGCATGCACTTACCTGTCACAGCTCACCTCGTTCTCTCCAGGTAGCAGGTGCCATTGCTACCCCATTTTACAGGGAGGCAAACTGAAGCACGCAGAAGGATGCGACCTGCCTGGCTGCTTGGGCTACAACCCCTCGATTCTTGGGCTAGTGGAGGGACCAGCTGTTCATGTAGCCTGAGCCTGGGGGGCCGGGCTCACTTACCGCCACCAGATCTTTCTTGAGTACCAGGGTCATGAAGTCGTTGGCGCACTTCGGCTCCAGCAGGGACATGAGCAGCTCTGGGTTGCAGCTGGCCTTGGAAGGGGTGGTTGGGACTGGTGCCGGGGAGGTCTGTAGCTGGTGGCCTGTGGGGCAGCAGAGGCGTGCCAAGTGACGGTCGGTCACCGAGCGCTCACTGTGCACTGGGCCTAAGCTCTTCTGTGGTGGTGAGTTGCAGATGAGGAAAGTGAGACTCAGGGAGGTCGGTTAACTCACCCAAGCTCACATCGGGGCCTCACCAGCTGCGTGGCAATGCTCTGGGGTGGGCAGGTGTGGGAGGGCCACGGGAAGGGGCCAGTGCTTACCACAGCTGGTGGCTTTCAGGGAGACGATGCTGGCTAGAGGCAGCTCCACAAAGGAAGCCACGGTGCTGGCATTGAGCATCCGGGCCTCCCCCAGCAGGCCCTGGGGTGTGTCTGGGAGCTGGTAGCCTTTCATGTTCTTCTCTGGAAAGATCTTCAGGGAGTATTCACCAGTGGTCTAATGGTGGGAGAGAGACAGAGCAGGGAGCCTTAGGTAGGTCAGGGGCATGGCAGGCACCAGGGTGAGGCCAGGCCGGGGTCCTGCCCTCCCCTCTGCTGTGTCCTCTGCCTGGCCACCCTTCCGGGAGTCTACTGGACCCTGTGTGCGCTTCATCTCAACTCCGGATTCACCTCTCCAGGAATCGCCCCTGATCTGTACGCTGGGGTAGGAAGCTCCCTAGCCAATCTGGGAAGGCTTCATGGAGGAGATGGTCCGAGGAAAAACCAGGTAGTGCACAGAACAGCGCTGAGGGCTCAGGACCGGGTGCTGCGCAGGGTATGGGGAGGCAGTCTGATGGCAGAGGATGGCATTTTGCCTTTTCTATTTGGGGAGCAGAGCAAGACTCACCCAGATCTGTATGTTGTGGTTGGGGTCAATGAGCCACGACACGTAGGGTGGACCCTGCAGGATGAGGACTGCGTCGGGATCCCCAGACGTGCAGCTCAGTTCCACATTCACTGTCACTGTCTGAGGCCTGTGGTGGGACAGACGCCGCAGTGAGCGCGACGTTGGGCGGGGTCTTACCTGATCCTGGGCGGGTCTATGGTATAGGGGTGGGATTGGGCGAGGTGTGTGCCCATCAGGGAGGGGACCGGGCCTAGTAATAGGAGAGGACGACCCGACCCGTGCTCTTCCCTGGCAGCTGGGTCTCAGTCCAGGCGTGGCCTGCCTGGGGGCGGGTCCTGGTTGCCTGGGGCAGGCACCTTACCTGGCCTTGGGCCCAGGCAGGACCCTCAGGATGTGCGCCTCCTTGTAGCCGGCCACACCGTCCAAGCGGCAGCCCCGGACCGGTGCCGGGGTACGCGGCTGCCATTCGAGTGTGCGGCCCATGTCCTGGCCGGCTTCTGGCAAGCAGAAGGCCGGCGACTTCGGGGCTGCGAGGAGAAGCGCACTTCAGTCCCTTCCCAGAGCGGCCTGGGCCTAACAGAGCCGCACCCACCCACAGCGGGGAAGGTGGTTCGAAACTTCCTGCCACAATCCCCCTGCGGAGTGCCCCTGGGCAAGTCCCCCGTGTCTGTTTTCTCAGCTGAAAAAAGGCTCAGGTAAGGAAGAAGCCGATGGCGCACGTTAGGGTGCAGCTCAAACCGGCATCGCCATTTTACTCAGTCTCACAGCACTCACCAAGACCTGAAATTACAGTATTTATGCAGGCGAACGTGTTGGTGTCAGGGCCTGGGTCTGTCCCCAGAGTCCCCAAGTGCCTAGCAGAGGGCTTGGTACATAGCAGATGTACAATAAATATCAAAGGGCTAGTTTTTTTACGTCGAAAAGTTGGCATTTCGCATATGTGCTGATATTTGGTGAAGAAGTCACCACTGTCCCAAGAGAGCACAGACTCGCTGTGTGTGACCTCTGACGAGGCATGGCCCTCTTGGGTCCCTAGGGTCCCAAACTGGGAAGGGGCCAGAGGAGCCAGATGCCTCAGCGCTGGGTCCCGAGCCCAGCGGGGCGCCGGGCAGCTGACCTTGACCCAGACGGAGGAGGATGCTGCGGGGGTCAAGCAGCTCAGCCACGGAGGCGATGGGGCCCTTCGCAGCTGCCCAGTCGAGGACCTGGCTCTTGGTGGCGAGAGGCGGCAGCTGGGTGCTATTGGCTCCTGGTGGCTCTTGAAAGATGACCCGTGAGCGGTCCTGCGGGGACATGTGGAAGCTTAGAGAGCTGAGCTTGGGCCGAGCCAGCGCGCGCAGTCAGGGTGTAATTTGGAATCAGCTCATTGGCTGAGAAAAAGATGCCAAGGCTGAGGCTGGGGCTCTGCAGTCAGGCCAGAACCCCCAAACATCCTAGCTCATTCCTCTGTCCCGACAGCCCCCACTAACCCCCGTGCACGTTCTCATTCGACCACATCTACTGACGGTGGTCACCATCTGCCTCCCGCTACACTCCGAGGGTGTGAGGGACAAGCTTTACCTTGCCCGGCACATAGTAGGCTTGGGGAAATATTTCTGACGGGCTGAACCCAGCACTGGGAGCCTGACATCTGGCACGGCGAGTGCTCCCTGCGTGAGGGAGAGGAGGGAGGAGGGGGAAGGGAACCGGGCCCAGCTGTAGTGGCACAGGCAGTAGGGTGCCACTTCATGATAGTGGGGCCATAGGGAGGCCCAGGTTCGGATCCCTGTCCACCTGAATGTACCCGTGATCCCAGTTGGCTGGGAGGCTTGTGGGGAGGACCGCAGTGTGCAAAGACCCTGTCAAGGGTACCCACACCCTCATGGCTCCAAACCATGAAAAAGAGAGAGAGAGAGAAAATGAATAAACGAATGAATTAAAGACAGAAAGGTGGTCCCGCTGGGGATCTCGCATTCGGAACCTGGACCTGCATGTCACTTGCAGCCTTAGAAAGCGGAGGACGTTGGTGAATAAGAAACAAAGGAGTCGGCAGGTCCCCTGTTCAGATAGGGGAGGGAATCTGGATGGTTTCAACACCTCCCCGTCTCCCATCTCTCTTGTAGGAGAGACCCAGGTGGGCTAGGGGGAGGCAGCAAGGAGGCGCTCGGGAGAGGCAGGAGGATTTGAAGGAAGCTCTGGGAGTTCCTTTGTGTTCTGTTTTCATCTCCAAAGCCAGGGACTTGAGCTGAGGCGGCAGCAGCAGCATAAGGTCAGGAGAGGTAAGCAGAGGACTGCCTGAGAGGTACCCGGTCCCAGTAAGGGCGGACTGCGCTGAGCTCTGTGGGACCCAGCTGGGCGGTGGGAGGGGCGGGGACAGTGGCTTAGCACTGGGGAGGCCTAAAGGTCATCATCTGTAATCTGGGGACATGGCGGGGATTAAAGGCATGACATTGTCACCTCTCTGGAGCTGGGTCTGGTTGAGGCTGGGGCGGCGGTGGGAGGGGCGGGGACAGTGGCTTAGCACTGGGGAGGCCTAAAGGTCATCATCTGTAATCTGGGGACATGGCGGGGATTAAAGGCATGACATTGTCACCTCTCGGGAGCTGGGTCTGGTTGAGGCTGGGCCGCACCTCTGCCTCTTTGTCCCCTCCGCCAGCCTCAGCCTGGCCTGAGACCTGGCTCTGCAGAGCCTGCTGGGGAAGCGGCGCGGCCCAGGGTATTCTTAGCCAGGCCGGAGCCGACAGCCTCAGCGACCTTCCGGCATGTTTCATGTCCCTGCGTCACCCAGGGCTGGGCCTGGCGGGACTGGGCTCAGATCCCTAGCCAGCCAGGTCGGGGGAGTGGGAGGGTAAAGGGGAGAGGGGTGAGGGGAGGCAGAGCCTCAATTTCCCCTCGGACTTTGAGCACATTTGGCTCCCTCCCTGCTGGGGCTTTCCACACTAGCTCAGCCATGCCCCTGCCTCTGTCCTGTGCGGTTCCTGCCCCTAGTGGGGATCCCACCCCTGGGCTCACCCCTTCTTCCTGTGTCTGCGGGCCTGTCTCCCAACCAGCCCTGCCCCATGCCTGAATGCCCCTCACCCCTTCTTGGACTTGGTGGGTCTCCCCTGTCTGCTATCTGTCCCTCCCACGACAGGCCTGAACCCCTTCAGCTCCCAAGTGTCTTTCTGTGTCTCTCTCCCCTAGCTCTCTGCTCTCTGCCTGGGCTCTGGCTCTCTCCCCTCCCCTCCTCTGCTTTTCGTGCTGTAAACAACAGCTGCTCACATCTGGGGGCTGTCTCCCAAGGCCCCGGCCTCCTCCTGCCCTGAGCTCCCTCTCTGTGGGTCCCAGCCAGTTGACCTCTCTCTGGTGGATGTCCAACACTTCGAGCTGGAGTTTCTGTTTCTTGTTTTACTGTTTCTCTTAGACAGTAAGAGAGAGAACCCCTCTCCCCGGTGGACCCTGGTCACACTGATTCTTTGTCCTCTAGTTTCCTGTCCTCTCCCAGGATCCTGGCACGTTTTTTGATCCCTGTCAGTCATGTGGGATCCTGCTTCCTCTGTGCCACACTCATCTGCTGCCCTAGGGGCCAGCCCAAAACCTCAGGGTTTTTTTTTCTTAGAGATTTTTGCTATAAGGTACATGTACTTGCTGGAGAGACAGAGATAGAGACAGAAAGCAAGAAATCATCCCTGGGGGTGGATGGCCATACGGCCCTTCTCCTCCATTCTCCTCTCAGGATTTTGGGCACGCACACACATGTACCCAGTGTGAGTTTAAGCTGCCAGGTCTGAGACTTGACCATGTAGGAGTCCAGAGACATAACCATTACACCATCTGCTGGTTCCAAAACTTAAGCTTTTTAAAAACAATTTTTTGGCATCAGAAGTTGGCATAATGGCTATGTCACTGGACTCCCATGTAGTTGACCGCAGTTTGAGTCCCAGACCCAGTGGCTTAAACTCACACCGGGTACGTATGTGTGTGCATGCCCAAGATCCTGAGAGGAGAATGGAAGAGAGGGGATTGTGACGTGGCCATCCCCCTGAGAGGTGATTTCTCCCTTTCTGTTTATGTCTCTCTCTTTCTGGCGAGCACATGAGCACATGTACCCTACAGCAAAAACCTCTCCAAAAAACAAAAGCAAAAACAAACAAACAAATTTTTCTCCAAAATAGCCATGTCAGGACAGTGGCTTAGCACTGGGGAGGCCTAAAGGTCATCATCTGTAATCTGGGGACATGGCGGGGATTAAAGGCATGACATTGTCACCTCTCGGGAGCTGGGTCTGGTTGAGGCTGGCCCGCACCTCTGCCTCTTTGTCCCCTCCGCCAGCCTCAGCCTGGCCTGAGACCTGGCTCTGCAGAGCCTGCTGGGGAAGCGGCGCGGCCCAGGGTATTCTTAGCCAGGCCGGAGCCGACAGCCTCAGCGACCTTCCGGCATGTTTCATGTCCCTGCGTCACCCAGGGCTGGGCCTGGCGGGACTGGGCTCAGATCCCTAGCCAGCCAGGTCGGGGGAGTGGGAGGGTAAAGGGGAGAGGGGTGAGGGGAGGCAGAGCCTCAATTTCCCCTCGGACTTTGAGCACATTTGGCTCCCTCCCTGCTGGGGCTTTCCACACTAGCTCAGCCATGCCCCTGCCTCTGTCCTGTGCGGTTCCTGCCCCTAGTGGGGATCCCACCCCTGGGCTCACCCCTTCTTCCTGTGTCTGCGGGCCTGTCTCCCAACCAGCCCTGCCCCATGCCTGAATGCCCCTCACCCCTTCTTGGACTTGGTGGGTCTCCCCTGTCTGCTATCTGTCCCTCCCACGACAGGCCTGAACCCCTTCAGCTCCCAAGTGTCTTTCTGTGTCTCTCTCCCCTAGCTCTCTGCTCTCTGCCTGGGCTCTGGCTCTCTCCCCTCCCCTCCTCTGCTTTTCGTGCTGTAAACAACAGCTGCTCACATCTGGGGGCTGTCTCCCAAGGCCCCGGCCTCCTCCTGCCCTGAGCTCCCTCTCTGTGGGTCCCAGCCAGTTGACCTCTCTCTGGTGGATGTCCAACACTTCGAGCTGGAGTTTCTGTTTCTTGTTTTACTGTTTCTCTTAGACAGTAAGAGAGAGAACCCCTCTCCCCGGTGGACCCTGGTCACACTGATTCTTTGTCCTCTAGTTTCCTGTCCTCTCCCAGGATCCTGGCACGTTTTTTGATCCCTGTCAGTCATGTGGGATCCTGCTTCCTCTGTGCCACACTCATCTGCTGCCCTAGGGGCCAGCCCAAAACCTCAGGGTTTTTTTTTCTTAGAGATTTTTGCTATAAGGTACATGTACTTGCTGGAGAGACAGAGATAGAGACAGAAAGCAAGAAATCATCCCTGGGGGTGGATGGCCATACGGCCCTTCTCCTCCATTCTCCTCTCAGGATTTTGGGCACGCACACACATGTACCCAGTGTGAGTTTAAGCTGCCAGGTCTGAGACTTGACCATGTAGGAGTCCAGAGACATAACCATTACACCATCTGCTGGTTCCAAAACTTAAGCTTTTTAAAAACAATTTTTTGGCATCAGAAGTTGGCATAATGGCTATGTCACTGGAA